GACTTCTGTTCCACCATCTACACCCCTCTCCTCTCTTCCTTCAAATTTCAAGGTTCCCTTTTAAAGCCATAATTTTAATCATTATTCCTGGAGGTGGGGACTCCCTGCCCGGGGAACCCCAATCCAAGAGGGCAGAGCATTTAATTCCTTTCCCGAGCTCACCACATGCCCCACCCTCGCTCCCTGGGCTCTGCCCTGACTCTCTCTGACCTCAGGCAGGGATGGACTCTCTAAGAGCTTCAGTTTACTTAACATTAGTGGAAAGATTAGACTAAATCTGTGCTGTGGTTTCACTGGGGCAATGGTTTGATTTGGTTTTGTAATCACCAAAACTCCTTCAAGATTCTGATGAAATCTATCCAGGGAAAAGTACACTCATAAATAAACATTTTGCAAATCATCTCCAAGAGTTTACAAACTTTGCAGAGCCTACCCACAGTCTTCACCCTAGCAAAGTAATGCTCAAAATTCTCCAAGCTACGTAGGCTTCAACAGTACATGAACCAAGAACTTTCAGATGTTCAAGCTAGATTTAGAAAAGACAGAGAAACCAGAGATCAAACTGCCAACATTCGTTGGATCATAGAAAAAGCAAGAAAATTCCAGAAAAACATCTACTTCTGCTTCATTGACTATGCTAAAGCCTTTGACTGTGTGGATCACAACAAACTGTGAGAAATTATCCAAGAGATAGGAATACCAGACCACCTTACCTGCCTCCTGAGAAACCTGTATGCAGGACAAGAAGTAACAGAATCAGACATGGAACAAAGGACTGGTTCCAAATAGGGAAAGGAGCACGTCAAGGCTGTATATTGTCACCCTATTTATTTAACTTATATTCAGAGTATATCATGAGAAACGCTGGGCTGGGGGAAGCAGAAGCTGGAATCAAGATTGCTGAGAGAAATATCAATAACCTCGGATATGCAGATGCCACCACCCTTATGGCAGAAAGCGAAGAACTAAAGAGCCTCCTGATGAAAGTTAAAGAGGAGAGTGAAAAAGTTGGCCTAAAACTCAACATTCAGAAAACAAAGATCATGGCATCCAGTCCTATCACTTCATGGCAAATAGATGGAGAAACAATGGAAACAGTAAGAGACTTTATTTTCTTGGGCTCTAAAATCACTGTAGATGGTGACTGCAGCCATGAAATTAAAAGACGCTTGCTCCTTGGAAGAAAAGCTATGACCAACCTAGACAGCATATTAAAAAGCAGAGATATTACTCTGCCAAGAAAGGTCCATCTGGTCAAAGCTATGGCTTTTCCAGCAGTCATATATGGATGTGAGAGTTGGACTATGAAGAAAGCTGAGCGCCGAAGAATGGATGTTGTTGAACTGTGGTGTTGGAAAAGACTCTTGAGAGTCCCTTGGACTGCAAGGAGATCCAACCAGTCCATCCTAAAGGAAATCAGTACTGAATATTCATTGGAAGGACTGATGCTGAAGCTGAAACTCCAATACTTTGGCCACCTGGTGCAAAGAACAAACTCATTGGAAAAGACCCTGATGCTGGGAAAGATTGAAGGCAGGAAGAGAAGGGGATGACAGAGGATGAGATGGTTGGATGGCATCACCAACTTGATGGACATTAGTTTGAACAAACTCCAGGAGTTGGTGATGGACAGGGAAGCCTGGAGTGCTGCAGTCCATGGGGTCGCAAAGAGTCAGACACAACTGAGCGACTGAACTGACTGACCCACAGACTTCAGTTTAATAATCCCTGTGGCTAACTGCCTTTTATTTCTTTTCAATAGCTCTCTCTGGCTCTAATTCTAATTCCTCTTAAAAATACAAACAGGAAAGTAGCAATTTTCATCCCTGCTAAAAACATACCTCCAAGAAAAAAATAATGGAGGACAAGGGAGCCTGAGTGCCAAAGTCCATGGGATCACAGAGAGTCGGACACAACTGAGCGACTGAACAACAACCAAGAATGGTTCTGACATTCCTTGCCACATTCTGATGAGCAGGATTCTAGAAAATCCCTGAGCTAAGAAGATGAGTGATTTAGGCTAGGAAGCCCCATGCATCTGTTCATTCGCCTCTCAGAACTCAAAGCTAATTATCTGTAGGACAGGCCTCTCCTCTCATGTAATCTTTCTCCATATTTCAATTTGTTTCATAAAATGTGACCCATATATTTAGCTTCTGTCTTGTGTGGCTCAGATGGTAAAGAATCTGCCTGCAATGCAGGAGACCTGGGTTCAACCCCTGGATCAGGAAGATCCCCTGGAGAAGGAAACAGCAATCCACCCCAGTGTTCTTGCCTGGAGAATTCCATGGACAGAGGAGCCTGGTGGGCTACAGTCTATGGGCTCTCAAAGAGTCAGACATGACTGAGCAAGTAACACTTTCACTTTCACTTCAAATTCAGTTGGAGTTGTTGTGCTGAATTTAAAGAGCTATGGTGTAAACAAAATCATTTTTAAATCTTTTTCTATCAGAACAATTAAAGTGGGTCAAGTGGGAAGTGTATGGAAACATCATCGTAAACTCTTTTAAAAGTACAACTTTTTCTAGCTGTATCACTGAAACTGATCCACAGGAAAATCACTCATCTAGACTCAGGGAACAATTCGGTAACACAGACCTAAGCAATAAAAGAATCATTTTTCCTGCAAAGGTGGATTTATTCAGGAATAGCAAAGGAAATGGAATTCAGAAGAAGCAAGCTATATAGCAAAAAGCCATGGGCAAATCCGGAGAGAAATGAAACATTTACAAAGAAAAAGGAGGAAGTTGGGACGGGTTGTCTTGAATGGAAGTCTTCTGGAGAAAAGTGAGAGTTCAAGGTCTCCCTGGCTGGGTTCTGTTGGCTGAGTTGCCAGGGTGGTTTCTTTAAATAAAATGTGTATTTATTTATTTTTGACTGTGCTGGGTTTTTGTTGCTGCATGGGCTTTTCTTTGGTTGGGGTGAGCGGGGGGCTACTCTTCACTGCAGTGTGCAGGCTTCTCATTGCAGTGGCTTGTCTTGTGGAGCACGGGCTCTGGGACAGGCAGGCTTGGGTAGTTGTGGCACGTGGGCTCAGCAGTTGCAGCTCCCAGGCTCTAGAACACAAGCTCAGTAGTTATGGCGCACAGGCTCAGCTGCCCCGAGGCAGTAGGATCTCCCTGGATCAAGGATCGGAACCCGTGTTCCCTGTACTGGCATGTGGATTCTTTACCACTGAGCCTCCAGGGAAGCCCCAGGTGATTTCTTGTAGGGGATGCAACGCACATTTTCTCCGGTGTGGGCTATGATAGATAATTCTTTCCTGTAAGTGACCTGGAGGACACGACTGAAGTGACTTAGCACAGCACACAGCACACGACGGAGACATAGGTAGAGAACAGGCCTGTGGACACAGCGGGGTCGGGGGGAAGGTGAGAAGTAGCACTGTATCATATACACTACCGTATGCAAAATAGATAGCTAGTGGGAAGATGCTGCATAGCACAGGGAGCTCAGTCTGGTGTCTGTGACCACCAAGAAGGGTGGGAGAGGAGGCTCAGATGTCTATCTATGGCTAATCCACACTGCCATATGGCAGAAACCAACACAACATTGTAAATCCTCCAATTAAAAATATTTTTTTTAAGTGCTGTCCTTGCATTATTTTGACCACTTACTCCTGATCATTGTCACCGTGAAACGATGGCCTCCTGGCTGTTGACCAGTCCTTTCTCAGCTCCTGGCTGTCCCAGTCTCTCCACAGGCAGCTCACGGGCAACCCAGAAAGGGCTGAACAACCCCAAGTCCGGGTCTTTCATAGCCTAACCTTGTCAGTGACATCCTATTTTTTTTGGCTCATCCTATTTTATTCTGTCGTTGAGAACAGGTCACTGGGCCCAGCACACACTCAATGCGGGGAGGCACGGCAGGTGCAAACACCAGGAGGTGGGATGGGGTGGGGGCATCTTGGAAGCTGCCCACAGACATGAAATTTTAGTGATTATATCCTCTATATCTATTTACACTTAGGATGAAAATTTTCCAGAGTCATATTAAAAAATGTATGGGAGGATGGATAGTTTTCCAAAATTCTTCTTAAATAAACAAGTAAAAGGTTTGGAGACCACGGAGCTCGAGGCCTAAAGCAGCTGTGTCCTGTCGCCAGCGGGGGCTCAGATGGTCGCCAGGGATCCGCCAGCAGCTGGCAAAGGGCCAGTGCCTTGGACCAGGAGAAGATCCACCACCTCAGACCTGGAGGTCTATCTACAGTCGGTGGGATCTGGGTGGGGGTTGTCCGAGGCCAGCAGAGGAGTTCAGGGTTGTGAGGAAAGGCAATGTGGACGACGGTTGTCTCAGGATGAAGGAAGGACACCTTCTGCGGACTCTCAGCAGCAGACTTGGAGCGGGTCTCTGGCGAACACGCGGGCTCAGGGCATCGCTGCGGACACAGGAGGCCAAGGGCCCCCACCTGGTCTGGGACCCCCGTGCAGTCAGAGCGCGGAGCGGTCCCGGCCTGGAGAAGGGGGAGGAAAAGCCAGGAAAGCACTCCAGGGAGAAGGTGCGGATACAGAGAGAGGGAGCTGAGAAAAAACTTCCTCTGACGGAGAAGAAGAAGAGTGAGACCGGAGGCGAGAGCAAGGGGCAGATATTAAAATAGTTTTACGGCCTGACGATAAGAGCGGAGATGGAATATATGAGTCGGACGAGCTGGAGCGCAGGAGACGCTGGACGAGGGTTCAGGGAGCAGGCGGGGCGGGAGGAGCGCGGGGAGGATCCAGGGAGGAGCGCAAGGAGGAGCCGGGGAGGAGCGCGGGGCGGAGCGCGGGGAGGAGCGCGAGGCGGAGCCCGGGAGGAGGACGCACCTGGGACGCACGTCGGGGAGGGACACGCGGAAGGACTGTCCAGGCCGAGACCTCCCCTCTGCGAGGCCCGCCCCGGTCAGGGCTGGAAGCCGGAAGTAGGCGCGGGAGGACGACTCGGAACTCAGCCGAGGGGATCCCGGGGCGCGCCCTCGCTGCGCCCCCACCCCGGGCGCGAGCCCTCCGCTGAGGGCCGGGGCCATGGGGGCTCCGCGCCGCCGGCCGCGCGTGTTCCCCGGGTCCCCGCCGGGGCCGTCGCTCCTACTCTTCCTCCTGCTCCTGCGCCCGCCGGGCCTCGGTCTCGCCTCCCCGAGGCTCTTGGACCACCCGGCGCCTGTGTGTTCCCAGGAGGTGAGATCGGACGCGTCCCGGGGCGGGGGGGTGGGGGTGGTTAGGAGTAGCCGAGGATGCTGTCGGTGCAGGGGCCGGGGCCGGAGTCGCGGGGTTTCGGGGGTTCCGAGGCTTGGGCACAAGAGCGGGCCTCCCTGGGCAGGACACGCGGAGCGTCAGGAGTTGCGGTGCGAGTCAGGGAAGAGACGGAGTTTGCTGGGAAAGATCGCGCAGCGCGGGTTGCACAACCTGGGCAGGAGTCCCGGCGGCGCCTCCGGGGGAGCCCCAAACTCGGGGAAGGACTTGGGGGAGGCGCGCCGGCCGGAGGCAGGGCCTGAGGAGGGCGAGGCGGGACCGGACCCGGTGCCAACCCCGGGAGTCCACCCGTCCTCCCCCCGAGCCGGCGCCCAGGGTACCCCGCGGCCGCAGCGTCTGGCGCACGAGCCCGGGGTCTGCGGAGCAGCTTCCGGGGAGAGTTGTAAGGGCAGCCCGATGACCCCTCCGGGCGAGCGCTGGGCACCGCGCGGACCTTCCGGAAGGCGCCCCCTCCGGCCTCCACCGCCCGCCCGTGTCTAGAGTCCCGCGGGGCTGTAGGCACCCGTCAGTTGCCCCCTGTGCCCACAGAAAGCGACTCGCCCACGCCCACCGCCGGGTAGTGGGCTTAGGGTGGAGGCCCGTCTTAAGGGAAAAGAGACAGATGGTGCTGGCCGCGCGCTGCCCTCTCCCGCCGCTCCTCGGCCCCCTCCCCTTCACCTCTGACCCTAAGAAATGACATTCCTTATCTGAGTCAGAGGATGTGGAACAACCAAGGGGGTTTTTCTCCCTATCTAATGTTGCAGAGGATTCATAAGAGGGTGAAAGGTCAGTGACTGTTTAGCAGAATCTCTCTTTTTAAAAAACAAAACAAAACATGAATGATGTTGGGAAAGGTCCTTGTGACCCCCTACTCCTGGGCAGAGCAGGGGACCCGCTCAGCAGGTCCTACTCAGGGACTCTGCTGTCTGGGACTCAGTTCATTTTTAGATGGCCTTTTGCTGGCCACCTGCAAAATACAAGGTCCTGAAACAACAAAGACACACCCGCTGATAACCGGATGTTGGGGCAGTAAATCACAGAAGTCAGCCTGGAGCAGGAGCCTCTGTCAGCCAGGAGTGATGGAGTTTCAGGGAACAGTGCCCTTCCTGCAGAGAGGGCACTGGGGCAGCCCTCCAAGAAAGAGTCTGGAGCATTCCAAGAGGGGGAAAGCGCTGAGCCAAGGCCTGAGGGTGGGCAGGATGAAGAGTGGGAGGTCTGTGTGGCAGGAAAGTGGGAGAAGCAGCTACAAATTAGGGAGGGTCTCCGCTGAGCTGGGCTGAAAGGGCTTGGCCTCAGTTGCTCACTGGAGAAGGGGCTTGGCTTGATGTGGGGAGGGGGCTGGAGAGGGACCCTGGGCAGTTTGCCTACACCTGCCAGGCTCTGCCTTCCCTCTGCCTCATGTACACCTGGCCAGAGAACAGGAACCCACTGCCAGCTGGCTCCCCTGAAAAGAGAGGGGTTAGGCCCCCCAGATTTCTGTCCCTCCACTGGCGCTTCCATGGATGGAGCACCACTTAGTGGCTTGACCTCAGAGGACCTGGCTTCGCAGCCTGACTTCACCACCTACAGCCCACTGCCATAAGCACAGGCCATGGGGACTGACAGATGTTTGCGGACTGAAAAGAGGAAGGGGAGGGTGAGCAGGTGAATGACAGCCAGCTCTGCCCAAGAGGCAGCGATGGGCGGAGAGACCAACAGCTGGTGCCAGCTGCTCGGAGTTAGCCAGGGAGCTGGTGCTCCTCAGCAAAAGAAGCCCGCCCGCCACAACCTGAGAAGAGCCCCCGGCTCGCCACGACTGGAGAAAGCCAGCTCATAGCAACAAAGACCCAGCACAGCCAAAAATAAATAAATTAAAAAATTTTAATATGTATTTTTTTTTTAAGTGGTGAGGGGGTGATGGTACCTACCTCATAGAACTGTTGTAGATTCAATGAGATCTCCATACAAAGTGCTATTGATGCCTGGCCCAGGAGAGCTCAGGGAACACTGGCCACTACCACCTACCACCGTCTTCATCATCGTGGTCGTCCCCTTCTGGGTTTCTGCAGGAGGTCTGACGTGGTGCTGTCCATAAGCTCATAAACAGTGTTCTGGTCCTGTTGTTATTCCATCGCTCAGTCGTGTCCAACTCTCTGCAACGCCACGGGCTGCAGCACACCAGGCTTCCCTGTCCTTCACTGTCCCCCGGAGCTTGCTCAAACTCATGTCCATTGAGTCAATGATGCCACCCAACCATCTTAACTTCTGTCGTCCCCTTCTCCTGCCCTCACTCTTTCCCAGCATCAGGGTGTTTTCCAGTGAGTCAGCTCTTCACATCAGGTGGCCAAAGTATTGGAGCTTCAGCTTCCAATGAGTATTCAGGACTGATTTATTTTAGGATTGACTGGTTGGATCTCCTTGCAATCCAAGGGACTCTTGAGAGTCTTCTCCAACACCACAATTGGAGAAACATCCATTCTTAAGCGCTCAGCTTTCTTTACAGTCCAACTGTCATATCTGTACATGACAACTGGAAAAACCATAGCTTTGACTAGACGGACCTTTGTCAGCAAAGTAATGTCTCTGCTTTTTAATATGCTGTCTACGTTGGTCTTGATCATTTCATGGCTGCAGTCACTATCTGCAGTGTTTTTGGAGCCCAAAAAAATAAAGTCTCTCACTGTTTCCCCATCTATTTGCCATGAAGTGATGGAATCGGATGCCATGATCTTTGTTTTCTGAATGCTGAGCTTTAAGTCAACATTTTCACTCTGTTCTTTCACTTTCATCAAGAGGCTCTTTAGTTCTTCTTCAGTTCAGTTCAGTTCAGTTCAGTTCAGTCGCTCAGTCGTGTCCGACTCTTTGCAACCCCATGAGTCGCAGCAGGCCAGGCCTCCCTGTCCATCACCGGCTCCTGCAGTTTACCCAAACTCATGTCCATCGAGTCAGTGATGCCATCCAGCCATCTCATCCTCTGTCGTCCCTTTCTCCTCCTGCCCCCAATCCTTCCCAGCATCAGGGTCTTTTCCAATGAGTCAACTCTTCGCATGAGCTGGCCAAAGTATTGAAGTTTCAGCTTCAACATCAGTCCTTTCAATGAACACCCAGGACCGATCTCCTTTAGGATGGACTGGTTGGATCTCCTTGCAGTCCAAGGGACTCTCAAGAGTCTTCTCCAACACTACAGTTCAAAAGCATCCATTCTTCAGCACTCAGCTTTCTTCACAGTCCAACTCTCACATCCACACATGACTACTGGAAAAACCATAGCCTTGACTAGGCGGACCTTTGTTGGCAAAGTAATGTCTCTGCTTTTTAATATGCTGTCTAGGTTAGTCATAACTTTCCTTCCAAGGAGTAAGCGTCTTTTAATTTCATGGCTGCAGTCACCATCTGCAGTGATTTTGGAGCCCAAAAAAATAAAGTCTGACACTGTTTCCACTGTTTCCCCATCTATTTCCCATGAAGTGATGGAACCAGATGCCATAATCTTAGTTTTCTGAATGTTGAATTTTAAGCCAACTTTTTCACTCTCCTGTTTCACTTTCATCAAGAGGCTTTTTAGTTCCTCTTCACTTTCTGCCATAAGGGTGGTGTCATCTGCATATCTGAGGTTATTGATATTTCTCCCGGCAATCTTGATTCCAGCTTCTGCTTCCTCCAGCCCAGCATTTCCCATGATGTACACTTCATATAAGTTAAATAATCAGGGTGACAATATACAGCCTTGACATACTTCTTTCCCAATTTGGAACCAGTCTGTTGTTCCAAGTCCAATTCTAACTGTTGTTTCTTGACCTGCATACAGATTTTCAGGAGGTAGGTAAGGGGATCTGATATTCCCATCTCTGAGAATTTTCCAGTTTGTTGTGATCCACACAGTCAAAGGCTTTGGTCTAGTCAATAAAGCAGAATTAGATGTTTTTCTGGAACTCTCTTGCTTTTTCTGTGATCCAGTGAATGTTGGCTATTTGATCTCTGGTTCCTCTGCTTTTTCTAAATCCAGTTTGAACATCTGGAATTTCATGGTTCAGGTACTGTTAAAACCTGGCTTGGAGAATTTTGGTAGTGGGTGAGATGAGTGCAATTGGAAATATAGTTAATCATATCATTTCTCTTGAATTGACCCTCTAAATATTCACATATTGTTTCTCCTATTTCTCCTTATTTTTGTTCTAAATTTGGAGAAATTTCCTGAATTTTATAGCCTAGTTTTTCTATGGATTTTTTTTATTTTCAAGGTTTAGTTTTTTATTTTTAACTGAAGGATAATTGCTTTACAATCTTGTGTTGGTTTCTGCCAAATATCAACATGAATCAGCATTCGTATACAGTGTCCCCTCCCTCTTGAAACTCTCTCCCACCTTCCCCCCCACTCAGTTCAGTTCAGTTCAGTCACTCAGTCATGTCTGACTCTTTGTGACCCCATGAACCGCAGAACACCAGGCCTCCCTGTCCATCACCAACTCCCGCTGTTTACCCAAACTCATGTCCATTGAGTCTGTGATGCCATCCAACCATCTCATCCTCTGTCGTCCCCTTCTCCTCCCACCCTCAATCTTTCCCAGAACCAGGGTCTTTTCAAATGAGTCAGCTCTCCGCATCAGGTAGCCAAAGTATTGGAGTTTCAGCTTCAACATCAGTCCGTCCAGTGAACACCCAGGACTGATCTTTAGGATGGACTGGTTGGATCTCCTTGCAGTCCAAGGGACTCTCAAGAGTCTTTTCCAACACCACAGTTCAAAAGCATCCATTCTTCGACACTCAGGTTTCTTTATAGCCCAACTCTCACATCCACACATGACTACTGGATAAACCGTAGTCTGGACTAGATGGACCTTTGTTGACAAAGTAATGTCTCTGCTTTTTAATATGCTGTCTAGGTTAGTCATAACTTTCCTTCCAAGGAGTAAGTGTCTTTTAATTTCATGGCTGCAGTCACCATCTGCAGTGATTTTGGAGCCCAAAAAAGTAAAGTCTGACACTGTTTCCACTGTTTCCCCATCTATTTCCCATGAAGTGATGGGACCGGATGCCATGATCTTAGTTTTCTGAATGTTGAATTTTAAGCTAACTTTTTCACTCTCCTCTTTCACTTTCATCAAGAGGCTGTTTAGTTCTTCTTCACTTTGAAGGTTAATTTTTATTTCTGCTTGTTCATTTTTCCATAGTACCCTGTCCCTGTCATATGAATACAGTGTCCTCTCTTATTTCTTTGAGACCTTTGTAATTTTAATTTATTCTGCTCCCAGCATCATCTTATTTCCTCCAAGAGCATTCTTTTAAGTTGAAGATTTTTTTTAACCTATTTTCATACAAATCTGGTACTCATTGGTTGTCTGAAAATATTCAAGCCTGAGGTTCTAAAAGCTGATTGGATGCCCTGTGGAACAGGGTGTGTGGATTAATGCTGGACTTACCATAGGGGTCAGGCTGGTGGTGACCGTGGCCTCCCAGATGTGGAAATCTGGAGGTCTTGTCTCTGGCTTGGCTGCCAGCGTCCTGAGCTCAGGGCAGGAAACGAGGTTCAGATGACGCCCAGCTCCTAAAGCCACTGAGAAAACAGCAGTTCCTTTTGCCATGTGTTGTGCACACTTCTCGCCCTGCAGCTCCTCAGTTGTCAGAGAGCAAAGTACAGGGGGGAATATGGTCCCCCCAGGAGTGGCCCCAAAAGTCAGAGGGAAGGCGCGTGCGTTTCATTTTTGAGTGTGAGCCGGGGGACACCGAAGCCCGGCTGGCAGATCTGAGTTCTTTCTCAGCTGTAATTACCTGCTTCTCTTTTCCACAGGGGCTGAACTGCACAGTCAAGAACAGTAAGTCATGGTTTTTCCTTTTCTTGAGTTGCCCTGATGCGGCGCTGACCCCATACTGAGTTGACAAGGGACCCAGTCCCCAGTGGGAGTACCCCTAAGACTCGGGGCTGCTCCTGTCATCAGGGTTTTGGAAGAATTCTCTGGGGCGCTGCAATACGACCTGGCGAGTCTGCAGTATGACCCTTTAGCCAGAGCTATCACCCTGCAGTGTGCAATATCTGGGGTGGGATCTTGTTTTGTGTTTTAATTCAAGGAGGACGCGCACCGTTCAGGAGTCCGTGCTCATTAGGGACCCAACACATAAAAACAGAGCAACTCTTAGAGCTGCCCCCTGTCTCCTGCCCACGTCCAACCACTGCTTCATCTCAAAGCCACAGGCGTGCTTTGTCATCTCTCCTGTAATGTCAGAGCTTTGCCATGACCCCCAAAGGGCATCAAGAGAGCTGTGAGCCCAGTTTTGGTCTTAGGGTCATGGCCTGACCATGAAGGCTCCTGGACCCCGCCAGGCATCCTCTTTTGGCTGCATCTCTGTCCCTTAGAGCCCACAAGCCTCTGATTTCTGCCTCTCCTGCTCCCAGGTACCTGCCTGGACGACAGCTGGATCCATCCTCGGAACCTCACCCCCTCATCCCCCAAAAACGTGCAGACCCAGCTGCGCTTTGCCAGCACGCAGCAAGGACACCTGCTTCCTGTGGTTCACATCGAGTGGACACTGCAGACCGATGGTGAGTGGGCGTTCGGGGTGCTGCCCACCTCTGGGTGGGTCCACAGACTGGGCCTCCCAGCCTTCCCACCAGACTCAGAATTGGGCTCCCGGCCCTGTGCTCAGACATGAGGGCCAGTTCAGAGAAAGGAGCCATCAGTTCAGGCAGTGAGTCCTTTTTCAGAGTTCTAGATGTTAACCCACCATCCTCCACGGAAGGCCTTTCTTCAGCCCCAAATCTTCATCACCCTGGAAAACACATCTGGTCATGAACCATCTGACTGCAGGCTGGCCCTTCTGACAGCACCCCATCCCACCCCAGCCTCTTGGGGGTGGAGATGTGTGCACTCCTGGGAAAAGTGGGTGACGAGGGTGCCCAGGCCTGTGGATGGCCGGGTGAGTCCCTTGCTGAGGCTCATACAAGGGGTCCTCAAGGTCGAGGACCCCCCTCGGACACCCACAGTCAGTGTCCCCAGCAGCCTAGCCACGAATTTGCAAAGCTTTCATTTTGGCCCTGGGTAAAACATCCTCGTCCCTCTCCAGCGAGGGGTAGCTGCCCCGAGGCAGCGGCTAACCCAGCCCAGAGGAAGCTGGAAGGAGCAGGAAGCAGGGGATAGACGGCATGCATAGCAGACAGGAAATGACCCCCCACTCCCCGGCAGCTAGCCATCCTTGGTCTCACCTGTGCTCCTCTCCTTCCTCGACCTCCAGCCAGTGTCCTCTACCTGGAGGGGGCGGAGCTGTCCATCCTGCAGCTGAACACCAACGAACGTCTGTGTGTCAGGTTTGAGTTTCTGACCACACTGAGGCATCATTACAAGCGGGTAAGAGTCCCACCAGGGTGGGCGGTGGTGACTGTGGGGAGTGGTGTGCACACACATACCTACATGCACACACATGCATGCACCCTGCTCTTCCTCCCAATCTCATGTCATGGCTTGTTGTTGGGAAGGCGGCTTCCTTGGCCGGCGTCTGCCGTCAGCCAGGGTCTCCTCCAGGAGGAGGGGCCCTGCCCAGCGCGGAGCAGCCATGGTTTCTAGCACAGTTTCTGGTCCTTCTACTGCTCAGAGCCAGAATGGGTTCATGTTTAGCTTGGTCAAAGCGCTGATTCCCAGTGTGTAGTCCAAAGCCCGGCAGTAACACCTGGGGATTGCTAGAAATGCAGGTTCCAGGTACCCCCCCAGACCTCCTGAACCAGAGGCTGGAGTATTCAAATGGCAGCAATTGGTGGTGACAAGCCGTCCAGTTGATCCTGACGCAGGCTCGTCTCAATTCTGCCGATTTACGAGTTAGAAGTGGCCACAGGCAGAGCTCCCACTAACACAAGCAGCAAAGACAGATCCCCTGTCCTGTGTTTAGTGAGGATGGGACCCCCAAACTACTGCCAGGAGGATGGAGAGGACCAGGGACCCAAAGCGGTCCACCAGGGAAGCTGGAGTCAGTGCATCTCAGAAAAAGTTTGAGCGACAAACTTTTTTGTTTGTTGGCCAGAAAAAGTTTGAGCAACAATGGCGCCGTCAGGCCCAGGGAGTGGACAGGGGACCTCGTAGCCTCCCACTGTATATTCGTGCTCCAGAGACCCTGCTTTCCCTTCCACGGGGCAGAGCCATGTAAGAAGTGGTCTTTAGCTGCCCCTGGGTCCCAGCAGCCTGCAGCCCTGGAGTTGGAGAGGACTGATGGGGGAAGGGTACCTTCAACCTCCCCCACATTCTCTTGCCTTTGGCCCTGGTGTCTCCTGATAAGGCCAGAGCCAGGTGTTTTTAAACAGGCAGGAAGACCAGAAGAAACACAGAACAGGGTCACAATGCCTCTGACTTTGGAGCTTGCGCCGTGGGTGTTCTCTCCCTGTGTTGATGGATCCTTTAGGGGCAGGTGGAGAGATCTTTGGGCTCAGGTAAGAGCTGTGACCGTTTGACCTCCCCTCCTCCTGTCTCCTAGTGGCGGTTTGCCTTCAACCACTTCGTGGTAGAACCCGGAGAGGAGTACGAGGTGACCGTCCACCACCTGCCTAAGCCCATCCCTGACGGGGACCCAAACCACCAATCCAGAAACTTCCTGGTGCCCGGTAAGAGCACCCGCCAGCCTGCCCTTCCCCTCTCGCTCTGTGGTCAGCCTGTGGGACCCACAGGACAAACAGGTTAAGCACCGGGGCTCCTTGGTGAGGGGCTGCAGCCTCCACTCCCTAAGGTGGGGTCCATTCTCTGTGGCACCAACTTAGTGTTGGCCCAAGACCCCAGTAGTTCTATGGGAACCGAGTCCTTCATCTGGCATTTCCTGCCCAGAAAGTGTCGGGAAGACAGGCCTGTCCCGAGAGAGCTGTGGCCTCACTCCCCACCCCGTCCCGGCCCTGGCCCCTCACTCTTGCCATGTCCCACTGCATGTGTCTGGCACCAGCCCCTCTTCCCCTGCTCCCTCCTCCTGGGAGGCTTGCCAGGCTCATCTTCCAAAACAGCATTTGATGCATCTGCACCTCCGGGTGCATCTCTGTCCTCCCTGGAGTCTCTGCCACGGTCCGCCTTTCTCGCTGTCTGGAGCCAAGAGCACCTGAATGCCCAGCCCCTGGAGGACATGGCCTGGGCCTTACACCCACCTGGACAGCCTCCAGACCTTTGTGAATGGCCCTGCATGTGGGAGGCGATTGGGAAATGCTTGCTGAGGCCATCCACATTGCTGGAGCACCCCTTGCACACACAAAACATGCACACACACGCACCCATGTATACACAGAGATGTGCATGTGCATGAAATTCACTCACATACACGCATGCACAGACGTGTGTGTGCGCACATGTACACACGCATGTGCACGCATGTTCTGCTCACCCAGCTTTGTTTCCCCTTTTATGTCACTCCCCATTCCTAACATGCCAGCATCTTGACATAGTCGTGACATGATATCACAGTTTCCTTCTATGGTCCCTCCAGCTGGAATGGCATCCCCGGAGGGCAGGGATTTCATCTCACTCCTGGCTATATCTCCCAGGCCTCACACAGCACCTGGCACGTACTAGGGGCTCAATAAGTATTTGTCAAATGAATGACACTCCCGGATCCCCCTCCTAACCCCCATCCCTAAAGCGGACTGACTCAGCCCCTGTCGCTCACAGTGATTCACACCTGTCATGTCTTCTTAAACCAATAAAAATGCTGCAGTCAAGGAAATGGGGGGTCAAGAAGCTATCTCCGGGGGAGCGGTCCTCACAGGGTCCCTGGGTTGGCAGTGCCATGGAATCACCTGGGAACTTGTCAGAAATGCAGCTTCCCAGGCCCACCCCAGACGGGGCTGAACCCACGAATCCCATGAGCATATGTGGAAGTTGGGGAAACGTCACCATTTGCCGAGAGGGACAAAGCCCATCTCCCCTCAAGGGCAGAAGCAGGTCCAGGGAGGGAGCCCCCAGAGAGGGGGAACAGGAGTAGACCAGGACCCCTCAGTCCCAGAGCAAGTCTGGGGAGGGGGCTTCTGCCTGGATCTGAAGTTTCTGGAGGGATGAGTGGTGAGATGGCCAGGGACGCCCCAGGCCTAGGGCCTCTGACCCATGGCAGCGTCCATTCTGGGGCTTCTCTGAAGGGGCCACCTTTGGACAGGCTCCCAGAAAGCAGACGGTTGTTACCTCTGGCGTTGGAGGTTCTGTAAGACGAGCTCTCCAAGGCAGGGGCTGACGGTTGCACTTCTCCCCGGTCCACAGACTGCGATGACCCCAGGATGAAGGACACCACACCATGCGTGAGCTCAGGTAACCGTGGGGGTGACTGTGTGGGAGCTTTACTTAGGTCACACACACATGCACGCAGATACACAAGCATGCACATGTGCAAGCACACTCATCACCCCCCCGCCCGCCTCGACTCCTGGTCACATTGTGCCCCGTGGGATAGGCAGCCTGTGGGACCCCAACATCACCGTGGAGACCCTCGAGGCCCACCAGCTGCGGCTGAGCTTCACCCCGTGGAACGAGTCCACCAGTTACCAGGTCCTGCTGCATAGCTTCCCGCTCGCAGAGAACCGGAGCTGCTTCCGACATGTTGTCGACCTGCCCGTGGTAACTGCCCTCCCTGCCGCTTTCCTAACCCATCAGCCTGGCCCAGAGCACCCTCTCCATCCTCAAGGGCCAGGTGCTCGGGCTGGGTTTAGAGCATGTGACCTCCTTTCCCCTGTGTGCAGAAGTGAAGCTGGTGTGCAGTTGGAGAGTGGCTGGCGTGAGGTGGGTGTGTGGCTGGTGTGTAGATGATGTGTGGCTGGTGTGTGACTGGCATGTGGCTGGTGTGCAGTTGGAATGTGGCTGGTGTATGGCTGGTGTGTGGCTGCGTGTGGCTGGTATGCAGTTGCTCTTGCAGCTGACAGGAGCACCCAGCCCTCTGTCCTCCCCTCCCCCATATTCTCCTGGTCCTCTTTCTGCTTTGTTAATTTCATGATTGCAAAGAGGATTTGAAGACTGTACAATGTGGACATGAGGACAAGGGGGGTCAAGGTAGGGAGTAAGACGGAGCCAGGGTGGGGCCGCTGCAGGACACATGCGTCTATCCCTTGATCCCCGGTGGCCCGGGCATCTGATGCGATCCTGGGGATGCAGTCCTGGGGACAGCTGCTCCTCCCGGAGCCAGACCTGCAGCCCTTCTCCCCAGGAAGGGGGCCCCCGGGGCGCAGCCAGCCGGGGCCGGGGCCTCACCGTCCCTCTGCCCTGCAGCCTGCACAGGAAGCCGCCCAGCAGCGCTGCCACATCACGGTCACCCTGCCGGACTCCAGCTGGTGCTGCCGGCACCATGTGCAGGTGGGGAGCAGGGCAGGCCGGGGTGGGCGAAGGGCAGGTGGGCAGCTGGGGGGTCATGCTCCCCTGGACCCAGCACTGCTGCAGCCTGGGGATTTCCTGCCCAGCCACCAGCCTCGCCCAGGCGAGGTCCTCCACCCCCTCCCACTGACGGGCCACCTGCCTGGCAGCCATGCAGACATCCTGGAGGGGCCGGTGGGTTCTTGGTGGGCCTGTGTCCCCCCAGCCTCTCCTCCCCACGTTCTGCCTCGCAGATCCAGCCCTTCTTCAGCAGCTGCCTCAACGACTGCCTCCGACACTCGGTGTCCGTGCCCTGCCCAGAGGTCCCGCACACCCCAGGTGGGATGCACGGCTGCCAGGGGTCACATGGAAGGAGGGTGGGCAAAGGTCAGCAGCTCAAACTGCACCGTGACCTGGTCCAGGGGCGCAAGGGGCAGTTGTCCAGGCCTGTGTCGTGTGGCCTTAGAGAGAGACTCCAGATTGGACTCCTCGCTGACTTTCGTTAGCTGTGTGACCTTGGGAAAAGCACTGAGCCTTTCTGATCTTCAATTTCTGTGACTGGAAAATTGGGGACTCTTTATTGTCATAGTTTACAGTTAACACCATGTACTGAGTGAGCAAAGTGCTCTAACATGTCTGCTTTTAGTTCTCACAAACTCTTGAGTCATAGTACTATCTGACTAGTACTGTGTACTAGGTACTACACACTATAGTACTGTGGACTGTGCATTATAGTATAGGTACTGTGTACTAAGTGCTAAGCTCTATGTGCTGGGCACTATGCACTATAGTACTGTGTGCTATGTACTAAGTACTGGGTACTATGCACCATAGTATAGATACTGTGTACTATATAGTACTAAGTATATTTTACTGTGTACTATGTACTGTGCACTAAGTATTACATACTTGGTTCTGGGTACTATATACTATGTACTAAGTGTGTACTATGTACTCTGCACTATGACTACTGACAACTGAAAGTCTATCCCTGTTCTCCTTACAGACGCTGCTGAAGGTAAGGCGGACTCCTTCAAGGCTGAGGTGCATCAGGGGCCACAGAGAGCTCCCTGCCTAGCGTGGTGTGGGGTCGGGCTGCACGAGGAGACAGCCCAGGGGAGCAGCCCGGGGTGGGCAGTGGGCAGGGCCCCAGGGCTGGCACAGCAGAGAAGACTCCTGAGGTGGGCAGTGGGCGGGGCCCCAGGGTGTCATACCACTCACACCACCCTCCCGCCACAGACCACACGCCCCTGTGGGTGTCTGCGTTCATCACAGGCCTCTCCATCCTGCTCGTGGGCTCTGTCATCCTGCTGATCCTCTGCATGACCTGGCGGCTACCAGGTAAGGGTGGGGCTGCAGCCCACCTGGGGTTTCCGGTCTCCCCCTCCCTCTTCCCAGACCCTTCTCCCAGCGCCAGCCCTAAGTCTGTGCTCAAGACCCCGCACCCCCAGCCCTGCAGGCTGTTAATAAGTATCAGTCCCCCACCTCGGGCCCACTCTGGCCATGTTCCAAGCAGGAGGGAACATGGATCTCCCGGGTGGGGCTTGGCCTCTCCCTGCCCCTCCATGACCCTGATCTGGGTGGCTGTTCCCTCTGTGACCACGATTGGTGCAGGGGAAGATCACCAAGCCAGGCGTGAGGCCTGTCGAGAGGGTCCTTCCCCAGAGGGTCCCTGGGAGGGTCCAGCGTCCGGGTCTTTCCAGGGGTCAGAAGGCTGTTCTTGAGCCACACATCTGACCTTTTCCTGAAGCGCCCACTCCTTGGGGCGAGGGAAGGACCTCATGGTTCTCAGAAGCAGCCCAAAGGTGGGGGTTGAAGAAGTCAGGTGCCAAATGCCCTCCTTGGCCTCTGTGTGGCTCCAGGGAGTCAGCCCACACCATGGGGCCCCTCACTGGGTCCAGGAGGGGAGGTCACTTAAGGACATTGGCTCCCCGCATCACCTTCAGAATACAAAGATGCCGCAAAGGGTCTGGGGTCACCACTTCCGGAGATGTCTCGGAAGGCATGTGCCTCCTGCAAGGACAGGTCTGGGGGATGGGCTTTCCTTGAAAGGGGAGTCTGCTTGGGGGCGGCCACTCAGGTTGTAACCTCCTAGGCACCATTCTGGGGGCCCCAGCCCAGTCAGTAGTGCTGAATACTTGTGACCCAACTGGTGGGTATGTTGGATGAGCCGGGCACTTAACCCACAGACCCATTTCACAAAGGAAGAAACCGAGCTTCAGAGATATCGGTACCTCCCCCAGGTCACACAGCAGTCCTGGGAGACGCCGTCTCCCCGCTAAGGCCCAGAGCAGCTAGGAGGTGCTCCTCAGCCCCTCCCGTGGTCGGGAGACAGTCTTGTAAAACCTGTGCCACCTGCACGGACACTTCTGGAGCAGTCCTTCTGGCCTTTCCTTTCCTTTCAGGGTTCCGTCAAGGAAAACATGAAGATGGCACCAAAGACACAGGTGGGCACTCCTGGTTTGGGCAGCCTGGCTTTAGGGGGAGGCTGTTCACATTGGCCTGGAGGAGCTCCCCGGTCAGTTCCTGTCCCTCGGGAGATGTCACCTGCTGGGGACCCACCTCTAGCCCCAAACGGAGGGACCTCAAGTAGCAGGGGGGCTGGGCTCAATCCCTGAACAAGAAAGGAAGGTCAGGGCCCCTGGAGAGCAGCTGTGTCCATGCCAGAGATAGGCCTTGGTGTCTTGAAGAAAAGCTAATTCTAACTAATGTGCAGGGTGCAGGCCAGGTAGGAAAGTGAGAGACACTGTTTTCCTTGAAGGCACAAGCTATATTCCAGGCAGCCAGTGCAGCCTGGTAACCGCCTCAGGCATCTTCTGGGGTCTTAGCTGCATTTCTTGGGCTCGGGAGCCAAACTCACCCTGTTTAATGTCCCCTCACCAGCCGGCCAGGCCTGTGATGTGTGGTCAGCACTGAAACGCCTGAAACCACATCCTGGTTTCCTTATTTCCCCCAGAGATCCTGCCCACCGCCACCAGCCTGAGCCCCCCGCCCCTGAAGCCCAGGAAGGTCTGGATCGTCTACTCTGCAGACCACCCCCTCTACGTGGACGTGGTCCTCAAGTTCGCCCAGTTCCTGCTCACCGTGTGTGGCACCGAAGTGGCCCTGGACCTGCTGGAGGAGCAGGCCATCTCGGAGGTAGGGGTCATGACCTGGGTGGGGCGCCAGAAGCAGGAAGTGGCGGACAGCAACTCCAAGATCGTCGTCCTGTGCTCCCGAGGCACCCGGGCCAAGTGGCAGGCCATGCTTGGCTGGGAGGATGCCGCCGCCGTGCAGCTCCGCTGTGACCGCGGGCAGCCGGCGGGGGACCTGTTCACGGCGGCCATGAACATGATCCTGCCGGACTTCAAGAGGCCGGCCTGCTTCGGCACCTACATCGTCTGCTACTTCAGCGACATCAGCTGCGAGGCGGACGTGCCCGACCTGTTCAACATCACCTCCCGCTATGCGCTCATGGACCGGTTCGAGGAGGTCTACTTCCGCATCCAGGACCTGGAGATGTTCGGGCCGGGCCGCATGCACCGGGTGGGGGCGCTAGCGGCCCAGAACTACCTGCAGAGCCCCAGCGGCCGGCAGCTCTGCGAGGCCGTGCAGCGCTTCCGCCGCTGGCAGGCCCAGCGCCCGGACTGGTTCGAACTGGAGAACCTCCGCTCGGCGGAGGGCCAGGAACTCCAGTCCCTGGACGAGGAGGCCTTCGAGGAGGAGCCGCTGCCCGGAGGAGGGATTGTCCGGCAGGAGCCGCTGGTGCGGGAGCCCACTTCCCAGGACCACCTGCTGGTGGAGCTGCTCCTCGCCGGGGAAGGAGGGGGCGGCGTGGCGCGGCTGGAGCCCCAACCCCGGCCCTCGGGGCAGCCAGCAGCCCCAACGCTCCAGACCATGGTGGTCCCGGTGGACAGGGCCCCTCGGGCTCAGGTAGTGGAGCCCGTCCCACAGGAGGTGGGCAGCGGCGCTGGCCGGCTGGCCCTGGTGGAGGAAGACGAGGCCTGCCCGCTGCTGGGGGGCCAGGGTCCCCTGCGGAACAGCGTCCTCTTCCTCCCCATGGGACGGCTCCCGCCCCCGCAGCAGAGCCCGAGCCTCCAGGATGTGCTCACGCCCCCCGAGGAGGAGCAGCGGCGGTCTGTGCAATCGGACCAGGGCTACATCTCCAGGAGCTCCCCGCAGCCCCCCGACGATGACGACGACGACGACGGGGAGGGCGTTGGGGAGGAGGATGGGGGGCAGCCGCTGTCCCCTCAGGGCCTGGAGAGCCTGCGCAGCCTCCAGCTGCTGCTCTTCTTCCAGGAACTTAGCAAGAACCCTGGTCTTGAGCCGGAGGGGCCGCCATGCGGGACCCTCCCCCAGCCGGGGCGGTGAGTGAGCGCGTGTGTGCACGTGTGGGCTTGCATATGTGAGGCCGCATCTTTAAAGGTAGCCAGCTTGACTGTTGGAGAAGGAAATGGCAACCCACTCCAGTGTTCTTGCCTAGAGAATCCTGTGGACAGCGGAGCCTGGTGGGCTGCCGTCTATGGAGTCGCACAGAGTCGGACACGACTGAAGAGACTTAGCATGCATGCATGCATTGGAGAAGGAAATGGCAACCCACTCCAGTATTATTGCCTGGAGAATCCCAGGGAGGGCGGAGCCTGGTGGGCTGCCATCTATGGGGTCACACAGAGTCGGACACGACTGAAGCAACTTAGCAGCAGCTTGACTGTGTCCCCTTAGCTTTTCTTCAGGTGCCCATGTGGTCACCTTCCATCCCCGAGACCCCATGGCCCATTCCCAGGAGCTAAAGGACAGACTGTCTGCCTTTCCTTCCTTCGGCCTTTGTCTTGGGTCCAGTATAGCCCTGACCACCAAGGAGCTGCTCCTCTAGTGAGAGGGTCGGGGCAGCACGCAGGGTGGGGACAAGACATGGAGGCAGAAGGGGTGCCGGTGGGGGGTGGAGGGCAGTTGGAATCCTAAGTTTGGGGCAGGAGGGCAGTGGGGCAGAGTGTAACCGAGCCTGCTGCGGAAGGTGAGCCCATGGGCCCAACTTGGGGAGGCCTGGGGGCCAGGCTGGGGTTGGGGCATCAGGCCCTGATGCTAAAGGCCGGGGCTTCTTTACCAGGATGCCCTGTTCCCTGCAGAGGAGGCTGTAGATCAGACACACCAGTCATTTTCGGAGAAAGACTGGATAGAAGTGAGTGTCTGAGCCCTGATGACCTCAGCAGGGCCCTCTCCCACTGGCCTTGGTCAGTGGGAGAGCTTCGGCCAAGGATTCTTCCAGGGTTGTGGGCTGAGCCCCTGGGCTATAGCATCCGGGCTCAAGAAGAACAAGAAGCCCTCAGCCCTGTGCACACTGGGGTCACCCTAGGTTCTCTTTGCCTGAACCTGAGTCCTCCACTGTAGCTTCAAGCACCTGCAAGGAGGAGAGGGTTCTGAAATTCAAGGAGAAATCAGATACCGCGTGTACTCGTGTGCGTGTGTGAAAGTGAGCTTATTGATAAAAGAATGAATAAATTTTTAAACTCTGATTAGAGTTCCTGGCTGTCGCTTTGAGTCACATGTTGCAGAGGTCGGGAGGTTCTGGCTGCAGAGGCGTTTCTCGTGGGGAGGTTGTGCCTGGTAGCAGCAAGCTGTTGAGGCCCAGGTCCTGGACAGTGCAAGGTCCACACCAGCCCCGCACAGCAAAGGACCAGGCATGGGCGTGCTACAGGCTGACGTCCATTCCGCCCCCCCACATCCCTTGGTTGACACCTGGTCCCCAGTGTGTGATGGTGTTGGGGAGGGCTTCTGGGAGGAGGGAGGGGTGTCGTGGGGTGGGGTCCCATGGATGGGATAAGTGCCCTTGTAGGAAATGCTACAGAACACTGTCCCCTGCTGTCATGCAAGGACACTGTGAGACGGCCGTCTGTGAATCGGAATCTGTTGGCACCCTGACCTTGGACTTCCAGCCCTGGTCTGTTTCTGCTATTGATAGTCTGTACAGTCTCGGGTGTTCCATTCTAGCAGCCAAGTGGACAAAGTCAGAGGAGCTGAGCCCTCCCAGCCTCCAGCCTCGCGGGTGCCATCCCCTGATGATGTTGGGTGGGCATCGCTGGGTACAGATGCCCACGCAGCTTTCCAGGACAATCCCCCCATTTCCAGTCATCTCGTGCTCAACGTGCAGAGTGTGGATTCTGTGGCTAGAGCCAGGCGGTGCCTGTGGCAGGGTGTCCCGGCCTTATGGTCCCAGGCCTGGTCTTGGGAGACACTCTCCGCCTGGACCACCTTCCCCACAGGCCTCAGACTCCTGCTGTGCTGGCCCCTGAGGCCAGACGACCCAGCTGTCACTGTCCACCAGGTCCCTTTCTCACCATAGCTGCCCTTTTTTTCCTCACGGCTTCACTAAGACGCAATTCACAGCTCACACAGTTCACCACAGACCCTGTACAAGTCAAGGCTTTGGGGAGTTCGGAGTTCAGCAACCTTCAGCATAGTCAATTTTGGAACATTTTTCTTCCTCCCCAAAGAAACCCAGCCCCCTTAATCATCACTCCACAACCCCTAACGTCCATCGCTGGGTGGTCACTAATCTTTCCATCAGTGGGTGTGCCTGTGTGGACACAGTGGATATAAACAGAGTCAGGAAGATCCCCAGGTAATCGACCCTTGTTCCGCCCATGTCCCTGCTCCTTCCCTGGAGCCTCCAGCCTCACACTGGTCTTAGACTAGGTATTGCCCAAACACCAAGAGCATCAGGTGTGAATAAGGCCTGGTCTCGCTTTCCATGCTATTCTGAACCACGGCTAGTGAAATCATGCATCACCCAGAAAGGCCCTCTGATAACAAGTGTTCCCTAAGCTGTGACCCCCCACGCCTCGGGGCCATCCCCAAGCAGAGTGCACAGAAGGGGCTCAAGGATGCAGGAGGACCCCTGGCCATACAATCTGTGTGGATGTCCACAGCTTTTTCTCTAGTGAGAAAACGGCTAACAGGTCCTTGGGACATTGCAGGCCACATTGGTTCTGAACCAGCTTCTCTTTCCTGCTCAGGAAGGTCCTCGGAGGCGCTCAGGTTTTGGAGGGGCTTTTGTCCGTCACTTAAATGTCCACTCAGCAGCTCGAGCTGGGCCTCTGAACGCCTGCTGTGATGGATTTTACTCATTTCCTGCTTATCTTTGCCTCGGGCAGAAGGGAGGAGATGCTCACCTGCGAGACTCCAGGGATGTGGCTACCTGCCCCTGCTTTTTAGCCAGAACCAGACGACAAAGGTGGTTTCCGTCTGCGGCCTTTGCGCTCCGCTCTGCAGGAGCAGTCTCCCCTCCCAGGTAAACAAGGGAGGGGCCTTCCTGCACAGACCTGCTCAGTGAGGGCCCCGCCCAGCCCTGCCCATCAGAGTCAACTTCAGCTGTTCACACCTTAGTGGGAATCAGTGTCCTGGCTCCTTCCTCTCCACGGCCTGAGAGGAGAGCCTGCCTGGGCCTGACTGGGGGCCTGCAGGACTCCCGGGATGTGGTTCCTGCCCCTGCTTTTGAGCCAGACCCAGACGACAAAGGAGAATCCAAGTCCAAAGGCTGCCCCGGGCCGCTGGATGTGGTTCAGACCCGATTCCCTTGCTGACTGCAGGCAGCCTCCCGCAGGCAGCTCCATCCTAGAAGGCTGCTAGAAGGGCTCCTAGAAGGGCTAGAAGGGCTCAGGAGCAGAGGAAGGCTCCCCGGAGGGGCCAGGCCCCGCGCTCACCCGACCCCAGGCCTCTGGCTGCAGGACTAGAGCCGCCCGACACGACCTTCCCTCTTGAGCAGCTCAGCCATGAGAAACATAGTCAGATTGGTCATCTTACCGCATTTAGGGAGACACGAAGACATGGTCTTTGCTGCCCTGTTGACTATTGTACTTGTTACGATTGTCCATGTCTTGAGAGAAGGACCGTCTCGGCACATGTCACCCCATTCTCACCTATATGCTTATAGGCGCTCCTGTCCTGTGAGTAGGGAAGATCCCGCAGGCCAGGTGGGCCTGAGCGGGCACGGGCAGAGCTGCCTGGGCTTTGAGGCTTGAACAGCACCAGCCTTTTCTGTGCAGAACTATGGCCATTGTCTTTTTTCTGCACAGACCTGGTGTCCCCTCAGGCCGCCCAGCTCTCCGCGCTACAAACAGACAAGCACAGCCCCTCCTCTTCCCAAAAACGACTCCTGCTTCTGGCCTGTGCGAGGAGGGCAGAGGACTTAAGAAGTTGGCTTCTCAGCCTTCTCCCCCACTGGCAAGTTCCTCTCAGAAAGAAGGAGCCAAGGACGGGAGCTGGGGCATCACCCTTGGGCCGAGAGACAGGGGACACGGCCCCGCTGAGGAAGCCCAAGGCCACTTCCTCAAGAGCCTACCAGCCACCTGAAAGGAAGCAGCCAAGGCGGGCCCAGAATGTGAACAGAGCCCCGCAAAGCGATGACAGATGTCACAGTGACATTTAAGAGTTTAGCAGGGAAATCAGGACAGGCACGATCTTAAGCCGCACAGGAAGCTTGTCACAAGTCTCAAGTTTGTTTTTTTTTTTATTTTCAGAACAGAAGCTGGTTTTATTTTTAAAAAGAGAAGGAGAGAAAAAAAAAAACGTGATAAATGCCACCAAGGTGCCATTTCCGTCCTCCAGGCTCCGACTGCCAGCTCTCCGCTCTTCCAGAAGAAACGTGAACTCTGTAGCCATCTGTACAGAGGGTCTGGGCCAAGCCCTTTCCAAACACAGATGGAGTCAGAGGCCCGGCCCACCCAGCGTCAGAGGCGGCAGCCCCAGTCCGACTCCAGCTTCTCCTCCATGACCTGCACGGAGGGTGCGGGCCCGGGGACAGGAAATCCCGCCTGCTGGGCCCACCACAGCATCTCCAGTTGGCCCCCCGCACCACAGATGCCCCTAGAAAACAAGAAAAACGAAACTTCCGGGGCATCTCTTGTTGTGAGTGGGGCAAGGGAAGTAAGTAAAAGGACTCCAGAGAAACAGGGCAGAAGGAAGGGGCCGAGCCCCTGAGCACAAGTTATGGCACCAAGTGTCAGGAAGTGGACGTCTGTCCGCGGGGGAACGCGGGCCGGCAGCTGGAACCAGCCGCACCCGCAGTCTCTCGTCGGACCAGGAAGTGCAGCTCAGCAGAACCCACCGCAGCCCCCCACCATCACACCCGACAGTGGGGGCCCCCACGTGTCGCAGTGTCACTCTGCGGGGAGACAGGGGGTGGGGCGGGGGCCAGCCTGGGCCCTCCATGGCTCAGACGCGGAGAGTAGGTAGCAGGGCAGCAGCGAAGCTGGAGAGAGGCTATGGGAACAGCGGGGCTCCCCCCCAGGGTCTGGGCCCCAGAACTCTGACCACATGGAGTTCAGAGGGCAAGAAGAGAGCTCCTGGGAGAGGAGAGAAGGCAAAAAAAGGAACAATTTGTTGCAAAATCCAACCAGTTGACCCTGGACCTGGTGGGCGAGGGGCTGGGAGCCCCGACACTGAGTGCAAACATTTTCCTCCCTGCCCCTGCCCCTAGAGCAGGGAGGCTCAGGACATCAGCCCCTCCTGTGTCTCTGCCTTCTGTCAACAAGCCCCCAAAACAATGAAGGGCCCCAAAGCATTCTCTGGCCCCCAGCACAGAATAGAGGCCCAGGAAGCAAAAGTGACCTGTGTGTCGCTGAAGCCAGCCTGTGAGAGTCAAGCCACTGCCCATGACTTGGGGCACTTGGTCTGGGGTTTATTACACCACACAAAGCTGCCCAAGCACACGCAGTGGGGGAGATACCTACAAACTCCCCCACCCCATCCTGTCACCTGGTGCAGGAGTGGGTACCCCGGCCTCAAGACTGTGTATGGGCAACCCCTGCATATCAGCCATCACTAGGGAGGGAGGCTGGGTGGGGTGCGGCTTGTCCACCCCCTCCAGGCAGTCTACCCTTTCCCTAAGGACTCCCTTGACCAGAGCAGAGGACAAAGGTCACTGCCACCCTTTCTGATCCACGCCAGGCTTCCCAGAAGAAGGGCAGGGGGTGGGAGATGGGTTCCCTACTCCCGTGGGCCCATAGGTGGCCCAACTCATATCAATCCAGGGACCCCACCGAAGCTATTCTGAGCCAAGACCTGACCCAGCCTGCAACCAGCCTCAGGAAGGATGGGAGCTGTGGGCACAGAGAGGGGGAGAGACGGAGGGCAGCGAGAGGCTGATCCTCCATAGACCCTGTAATAACACTGGCACCAAACCCCAGCGGGTCCAGTAGCCACGGTGAATGCGATGTCTGAGTATTTGTCCTTACTTTTTGCAAGCAGCATCAGTGTGTGATGCGACACAAGTGGGAAGCACGGAGGTAGACACGCTCACTCACCCCAGAAAGGGTGCAGTTTGGTCCTTAGAGTATGGACCCCACCCCGCAGCTGAGAGGAGCGGGGTGGGACTGAGGAAGACCCTGGGTGAGCTTCTCCCTCAGAGGAGGGCCACTGGGCAGTCCCCAGGTGCCCAGCTCTTTCTGGGAATCAATTCATGGCCACAGATTCAGGTAGGAATGATGAATGTGGGTGGGGAGGACAGGGCCTCCCCAGATCTCCTGCTGATCTCAAGGGGCAAAGGGTGGACACAAGGAAACAACATGCGCACACATGTGTGCACACACACACACACACAGATTGCATCTATCATCTGGATGAAACAACAGACACAGCCTGGGAACAGGGGACTCCGGGTCAATTTCAAGGTGTGGGACACCGGCCACCAGCCACACCCTAAAAGCAGCTGTCCCCCCTCCTGCCTGGGTCCCCCTCCTCCACTCTCCCCTACAAGGGAGCAGAATCAGAGTGAGATGGGAGAAGCAAGAAGCAGAGGCGCCAGGTTCCTGGAGGCTGGAACTCAGAATGGGTGTGGAGAACAGAGCTTGGCGACTTTCCTCCTTCTTTCAGTAGCTGGCTCCCTCCAAGCAGTCTTGACCCAAAGGGCTCAGAGGGGCGCGTTGGCCCTCAGCCCCGTTAACAGATGATCTAGGCTAGGTGAGGAAAGGTCGGAGGACAGGGAGCTGGGTTTCCCAACCCCAAAGCAAACCCCCAGACCCCTCAATTCTGGGAAGCCACAGCCAGGGTGTTGACATAGCCGTGGGCGCACCCCTCGTCCTCAGAGACGCAGTGGCCCAGTTGGGGGGCTCCGGGCGCCGGCGGGGCAGAGGGCGGAGCACCGTAGCCGGACCTGGCTCGACTAGGGGATGCCGGCAGCCCCTGGTCCCAGCAGCCCTCCAGGGCCTCCAGGCCGCGGCAGCCGAGAAAGAAGAGGTTCTTGAGCATGAAGACGGAGAGCGGCTGCTGGTAGCTCAGGGACAGCAGGCAGCGCAGCGCCAGCAAGGGCGCATCCACCAGGCAGCTGCCCAGGAGGCGCAGGAGACAGCTGCAGCCGCCCGGCCGCGAGGCCCGGGCTCGGGGCGAGGCGGCGGCGTGGAGCTCGTAGAGCCAGAGCACCGGCGAGGCGAGCGCGAGGAAGTAGACGGCGAGGAGCAGGTAGCGCAGGTGTGCCGGCAGCGGCGCGCGGCCGTCCAGCATCAGCTCCACCAGCGCGAAGCTGTCCAGCAGGTCCAGGCACGTGCCCAGGAAACAGCCGGCGGCGCGGTGCCGCTGCGGCTGCAGGAGGAGGGGGCCCGCGGAGCCGGGGGCGGCACCCGCCTCGCCGATGGCCCGCACCAGGCAGTAAAGCAGCGGCGCCGAAAGCGCCATGGTGAGGCGGAAGCCCGTGGTGCCGAAGGGCGCGCGCAGTTCGATGAGGTCCAGAATGGACGTGCCCAGGATGAGCACCACTTTGGGCGTGAAGGCGATGGAGTAGATGAGCCAGGCCAGGTAGGCGAAGGCGAACTCGCCGGCCGCCCCGACCGGCCCCGCCGGCCCCAGGCCACCCGCGCCCCCGCGCGCACCGCGCGCCTTGGCGCCCGCAGCCCCGGCGGGGGCGGCCGGCAGGTGCAGGGGCGCGGCGTGCGGGTGATGCGGTTGGTGGGCGTGTGCGCCGCCCCGACGGCTCCGGCTGTTCTTGGCGAAGAAGATGGCCCAGCCCGCCGCCACCACCAGGTCGGTGGCCACCCAGGAGCACCAGTACAGGTCCGTGACGGCGATGAGGTACACGTCCAGCAGGCCGCCTTGCGCCAGCAGCAGCGCCACGGACAGCGCCTGGTAGCCCCAGCGGCAGCCCGAGCCAGAGGAGCAGCCGCGGCGCCCACCCCCGCGGGCCGACCTGGCCCGGCGCCCGCAGCAACCGCAGCACGAACGGCAGGAGGGGCCGGGGCCGGGGCCGGGGCCGCCCGCACCCCCGACGGCCCCGGCCACGGCGCCCGCGCCCAGGTCAGCGGCGGTCATGCTGCGCGCGGAGGTGGGCGTGGAGGCGCGGGAGGCGGCGGGGGTCCCCGGGGGCTCGGCGGACACCAGCGGCCTGCTGATGCTGGCGCTCTCGTCGTCGTCCTCCCGCTCGGCGCCCGCGCTGCTGTCGCTGCCGCCGCCGGTGCCGCCGCTGCTGCCCGAGACGCTCCGGCCGCGCAGGAACCGGGGCTGCCGCCGGGCTGGGGGCGGGGCCGCGCGGGGGGCGCCGGGCGCGGGGCGCATTGTCCTCGGCTCCCTCCCGCCTCCCCGGCCGGAGCCGCGCGCCGGAGCCGAGCCCCGCGGCCGGGCGCGCGCGGTGACGGCGGCGGTGACGGCGCGCGGGGCGGCCCAGCCAAGAGCTGGGGGCGGGGCAGGGAGACCGGGATTGGATTCGGGGCTGGGAGGGGGAGATCCTGGCCGCGGGGTCGGCAGGAAGAAGGGGAGAGGCTGCTGGGCGCGGAGGTGGCGGGGAGCGGGGAGGACGCTGCCTCGGAACCCCGTGGGGACCCGGGGGCGCCCCTTGGGCGAGATGGGAGGTGATCGCGAGGTCCTACCCGCTGAACCCCTGGGCTTTAGGGACCGAGTGGCCTTGGTCTCAGTGTAGACCGTGCCTGCGAGCAACCAGGCTCGGACCCTCTGCAGGCACCAGGGCAGATTTGGCCTCTGCTTGCTCCAGTGCCCTCTCCACTGTCCACTGGGCCACCCTGCCTCTCCCTAAGGCCCTTAAAAGCCACGGGAAGAGTCAGGCCATACTGATTACAAGGACCATAAACAGATATATATTTCTACATACTTATGTCCCTTGGTATGTCTACATACTTATGTCACTTGGTTCAGTGGGCACCCTGGGGGAGGTACCAATCTGCAGTGGCGGGAGCAGCTCTCTGAATACAAACGCTGGGAAGAAAGCAGCAGAAAGAGGACGGTTTGTGTGTCCCCAGCCAAGCTGGCACCGGGTATTCTCTGAGGTTCTTAAGGCAGGAATGGGAATCAACGGGAAGAGGTAGCTGCAGAGGAAGAATAAAGAAACACCTAGAGGTGCAGGAGCATCGATTGACGCAAAGGACCACAGCAGTGATGCTGAACGCTATAGCGAGGCAGTGGATAGAGCTCTGTCCCGCCAGGTGGACATGGGGTTTCACAGCACACCCCCAGCACGCACACATTCTGTGTCCAGTCCTCATGTGGGTCCAAGAGATGTGGCGGGGGAGCTGAGCCCTGGGTTGGTGGTCTCAGCTCTACCACTGGGCCTGTGTGGTCTTATTTCATCTCTCCAAGCCTTAAATTATCCAATTGCAAAAGGGGACCAACATTTGCCTTCCCAGGCTGTTGTATTAGGAGGTCATGAGCTGGGAGGGTTTGGCGCAGTTCATGGTGCAGAATGTGTGAAAGGTAAGTGGTATCATCATTACAACTGCTCATGTCTCCACCCTTGGGGACGTCTACCAGCTCAGGCCACTCTTGATTGTTTTCTGGGCTGGATCCCTTCCCGAGACCACACTGGGAGCTCTGCTGCCCGACAGCTGTGGCCTTCTCCAGGCGCCAGGGAGCCGAGCGGTTCTTGTTGGGAACAGCGGTCCTTGGAGCTGGGCACAGGCTTCACGGCATGAGAGATTTAGCCCTGCCAGCTGGCACCGAGGCCACCCACCCGGGGCAGTGGGGGGGGCACTCGTGAGTGTCACAGCAGGTCCAGGTGAAAAAGTAGGCTGGGGAGCTGCCAACTGCTAATGGGAGTGATTACAGCCGGGCTCCCAGCCTCCCCCCAGGGAGAACACCAGCCAGCAGCTAACCTGAAAACTGGCCTATAATTCCTGCTCAAGTCAACCAAGCAGGAGAAGAAGCAGAGACGCTGATGAAGGCAAAGAACCGGGCTCCTGAGCAAACACTGATGGCTCTGTCCTCACCCCATCCCAGGCCTGCTACTCTCACCCAGACCTCCCCACCCCAGCCCCCCGAGGATAGGTCTCCTCCCTGGGAACTTGGGTTGTACCAGGTCTTTGAAGTTATCCTTGGATTTCTAGGGAATGGACTCCAGTCACTCAGAGTAACTTCTGAATGAGATTCTTTAGCCCCATTTCTTTCAGGTCTGAGGCCCTGAATATAAAGGTCTCAGAAAAGAAGGATGAGAAATCAGGGCACATGATGGAGTATGCCGATGGTCTGAGTACCAGAGGGTCCTCGGTTTTGCAGTGGGTTATGTCTGATCTGTGTACACACATGAACACACACATGCACACAGAGAGCCTTCGCTTCAGCCTAGGAGAAGTTTGACAAAGATGTGGCGGAGATGAAAAGAAGGAAGTTAAGAACTTCTCATGTATAAATTGAGTGCAAACATCCCACAAGGACCTGGAAACAGGAAGACACACTTGCCAAGCAGCTCCCAGGCTCCCAGGGTCTGTGCTTACGTCTCACATACAGTACCCGAGGACAGAGACAGAGGGACAGCACTTTGCTCCCAGACCTCCAACTCCCAGCCCGTGTCCTCATTTGCCCACCACACTCCTTCTCATAAGCCTAGGATAGCAGCCTGGGAGTGGGCGACAAACTAATCAGGTTTCAATGCAAAAACCATTTCCCTGAGCACCTGTTAAATGCTGGGGGGTGGAGGGAATCACCAGGTAAAGCTTGTTTGGAGACCTGATACCTCATCCTCCTGGAGCTGGGAGGCCAGGATGGGTTGAGCGGGAGAAGACACAGCCAGTCAGCTTAGCAGCCCCGGAAACTCAGTGGGCAGGATCGCCCCCACCCCGAGCACCGAGGTTTAATACCACAGATTTATAAATATATAAGTTCTCTCCTGTAGAGGGAGACTAGATCTCAACTTCTTTAAGACATAAAATTAGATAAAAGTAACAATTATAAGACTGTTATTATTTGGTTTGTAGCATATATACATCTACAGTGTACAACAATAATAGTACTAAGAGGGGAACAGAAAAAAAATACATAGAAGCATGTTTTCTATTTCTCACTGAAATTACATTGGTATAAATCATAAGATACAATGTATATTATTAGCTTTAGAGCAACTACTAAGAAAATAACTCAAAAAACCATTTAAGGGACTTCCCTGGTGGTCCAGTGGCTGGGACTCCAATCTCCCAATGCAGGAGGCCCAGGGTTCAATCCCTGGTCACAGAACTAGATCCCATGTGCTGCAACTAAGACCTGGCACAGCCAAATAAATAAATATTTTTTAAAACAGTTTAAAAATTGTTAAAGGAACTAAATGTTATACTAGAAAAAAAAAACTCTTAGTACCAAAAATGAAGATTTTTTTTAAAGAACTTCAGATTTCAAACGTATAGTCATTGAAAAATATTAATGAATTAAGCAGCATATTAGATACACCTAAAAAGACTTAGTAACTTTAATAATATTATCTGAAGAGGGGATATATGTGTAACTGATTCACTTTGCTGTGCAGAAGAAACTAACAACACTGTAAAGCAACCATGCTCCAATAAAAATGAATAAAAATATATATCTGAAGAAAATCTCTAGAATGTGGTAGAGAGAGCTAGAAGTGGTAACATATTCCAAAGACAAACTGAGTGGATGTGGAAGATCCAAAATATGCCTAATAGAAATTCCAGAAGGAGAAACTTGGAAGAGTCAGCGAAAGATAATAAAGAAATTACAGCTGAGAATTTTCTAAAATGGGTGAAAACTTCCCCAATCCACAGATTTAAGAATCACAATGAATCCTAAACAGGATGAATAAAAGTAAACACGCTCCTAGATGCTTGGATGTGAAACCAGAGAGCATGTACAGGAAAGGATCTTCAGAGAAACCATGACAGTAAATCATGGAACAACAGTTAGACTGACAGCAGGCTTCTCATCAGAAATAACACAAGCCAGAATGCAAAGGATGGTTAAAATAAAGTTAAAAAAAATAAATAAATAAAGTTAAATATATCCGTAATCACAATAAATGTCCTATTAAATAAGAGAGATGATAGGGTCCAATTTTTTTTAATTCCCAGCTATATGCTCTTGTAAAAGATATTTCTAGGGACTTCCCTGGTGGTACAGTGGTAAGAATCGCCTGCCAATGCAGGGGACACTGGTTCAATCGCTGGCCTGGGAGTATTCCATATGCTGTGGGGCAACTAAGCCCTTTGAGCTGCAGCTACTAAAGCCAGCACGCCTAGAGCTTGTGCTCCACAGCAAGAGAAGACCCAGCTCGCCACAACTAGAGAAAGCACTCAAATAGCAACGGTGAGCCACCACAACCAAAACTAAATAAATAAAAGAAATATCTCTAAAACATAAAGGCAAAGAAAGATTGAAAGTGAAGGTTGAAGAAAAAATGTAGACATATGTATTTTAATGCATTTATATAAATAAACCAAATATTAACTAAAAAAGCTAGCATGACTTGGACTTCCTGGTGGCTCAGTGGTGAAGAATCCTCCTGCCAATGCAGGAGGCACAGGTTCAATCCCTGATCCCAGAGGATCCCACACACTGCGAAGCAATTAAACCTACGTGCCACACTATTGCATCCGTCCTCTAGAGCCCAGGAACCACAGTTACCGAGCCCACAGGCTACAACTACTGAAGCCGGCACACCTAGAGCCCATGCCCTGCAACAAGAGAAGCTACTGCAATGAGAAGCAACTAGTGGCTAGCCCCTGCTCACCGCAACTAGGGAAAAGCCTGCATGGCAACAAAATCCCAGCACAGCCAAAAAAGTGAAATAAATAAATAAAAATGATTTTTAAAAAGCTAGCGTGACCACATTAGCATTAGAAAAAAATAAACTTTATACTCAAGACTATTTTTATGAAATAAAGAATTTCATCATATAGTGATAAAGGAGCTAGCATAGTAGTTAAGGGTATACGCACTAGACCTCGATTGCTGCTGCTACTGCTAAGTCACTTCAGTCGTGTCCAACTCGGTGCGACCCCATAGACGGCAGTCGACCAGGCTCCCCCGTCCCTGGGATTCTCCAGGTAAGAATACTGGAGTGGGTTGCCATTTCCTTCTCCAATGCATGAAAGTGAAAAATGAAAGTGAAGTCGCTCAGTCGTGTCCGACTCTTAGCGACCCCATGGACTGCAGCCTACCAGGCTCCTCCGTCCATGGGATTTTCCAGGCAAGAGTACTGGACTATCTAGATTCAAGTCCTGACTCCACCACTCAGAAGCTGGGTGACCTTGGTCAAGTTACTTGCTCTGTCTTCAATTTTCTTATCCGTAAAACGGGGACAATAATTAATAGCACCTACT